TAAAAAGATCTGGATATGTTACAAAATAGGGGGAAAGAAAAGAATGGTTTGGCAAGCTAACCTCTCCTTCCCCAATGGAATAGCCTACTCAGGAAGAAGCAGAATTTCAATTTCTAACCCTTATAGGCATCCAGAAAACAATCATGATTGAGAATATTGAATAGCCCTGAGAGGTTAAAAAAATAAAAGAGCCAGGAAGGGCGCATCTCCTTCCAAACAAGTACGACTAATGCAGTCTGTCCCATGCCTTGGACTAAAATGTAATTCAAAAAAGTTCAAATAACCTGTTTCCTTTCAGGGTGCTCTAGAATTAGAACCCCTCCATTTTCTTAACATCCTCCCTATCAAGAAGAAACTTGGAACCTGGATGATAATTATTCAGCACAACTAGCAATGTTCTTTTGATGAGCAGATATACCAATTTCTTTTCTGGTAGTAAGTATCAACTCCTTTTCCAATGAGGTGTTGATCACATATATTTTGATACCTTTAACACACTTTAGGCTTAAATATGGTATCATGCCAGTGTGATGAATTTAATTTCTGGGCTTAATCCACTCATATTCTAATCCACCCATGTCTTTCTCTCCTAAAGCTCTGTCAAAAAACAAAAGTGCCAACTTCTAGGATCTGTGTGATTGTGAAATGTCATTTGGGAGCATTTTGTCAATGTCCTTTTAGATTTTTGTATTCCAAAATCTACCAGGCATTCACAACAGTTTGCCTCCCAAACTGCTGAAGAAATATTGGACTTTAGCAGGATGCATAAGGCAGAATGCTTAAGCTTAATGAGTTTATCTACCTTGGAGATGCCTGGTTTAATGAATGATTTAAGTGAATCAGGAAATGGCAAAGGACTGAGTATAACATTTTACATATTTAGATGTTTTCACTGCTTTAAAATAAATATCAAATCTAATATCTGGAAAAGAGAATTGGGAATATCTGGAAAGAGAATTCTTCAGCGTGAATAGATATAGAAGCATCCCGGGGTAGCCTGGCAGTTCACAATCCTCCCCCCTATCCTCTGGGGAGAGTGTATCTTACTGGACATCTACCCTCTAACCCCAGAATGCAGAAGAAATCAGGCTTTCACACTCTGCATTGCCATTCTATAATTAAAAGCTCAAAATGCAAAAATTGAAATACCTAAATAATTTCTATAGTGCCATCTGCTGGCTATTTTGTGTAGATGCACAATGACTAGAGGATTTAGCCATCTTTTCCTTATTTGCAGTAGAATCAAACTTGCAGAACAGAAGTAGAATAAAACGTTTTTTTCCAGAAAGATAATATGCAAAGCCCTCAGTATGAAATATAAGTAAAGGCTGAAATTGAACGTTTATTCCAACAAGCTATACGACAAATAAAGAAAATGAGACTTAGTACCACACATAGAAATGAGAAAATGTAGCACAAATTCTGACTCCATGTTATCTATTTCTACAGAAACCCTAGGATTCCTGAAGCAGTTTTCTACTTCACTTTATGAACTTCTCAAACCTTGGAGATTCCCAAAATCTTTCAGAAGCTATAGAAGACCATTTCTCTCCCAGCTCTTCAGACATTTTTTGTTTTACAAAACAAAAACAAAACTATATTTTGCCTGGGAGAAAAATCTCCTCAAAATAGTAGCCACTATTAGACATATCTTCCTTTGAACATATTCATTAACATCAAACTCATCCAACGCTAAACTGCAGCATACAGATATTTTTGTGTGTTCTATGGATAGTTCGGAGTTCAACAATTAATGCTACAGCTTCTAAACAGCATTATGGCATAACATTTTTTCTATCAGAGACCAATAAGGGTTTTGGGGGGAGGTCATTCCAAGTGAAGAGCTTGGTCTATCACAATTGTGCCAGTGTGTCTCTCTGGAGTGTCAATAGTTAACACGGAGTGCAATTATAAAGACATATGGGAGCCAGCCACTCTTATTTTTTGTATAATCCACAGAAATGGATTTCTCTCAGGTTTGCAGATTCTCTCAGGTTCGCAGTACTTTCAGACTTACAATAATTACCATATATCCTGTACATTGCTTGCCTCACCTTAACTGCCTTTGCAATAACCTGATATTGCCATGAGGCAGCCAAGCCTAGATATACTGACTTACTCTCCCACATCTATAAGTGTAGGCAGTCAGGTTAGTATATTGTCTAAGCTGTGAACAGTTAAGCATACTTTGGGTGTAATTGCCTAGTATTCTCCATTTGTTTGGGTGCCAGGGTAGGAGCAATAGGATTCTTTTTCCTATTGTACCACGAGAGACCCTCCCAAGAGATACTCCCAAGCACTCATGCTCTCTACAGATGTCTGATAAGGTTAAACACCATTTGCTCCCCAAAGTGAATGTGTTCACATGCTGTATTCTAGGTTTGAACCTAGTTCCTGGAAACTGCAATGTAGCTCACTTGCAGCTACTGTACCTACAATTACCTGTCCCAATCTACTTCTACTGTAACACGAGTCTTCCCAAGCTAATTCTTGGTGATATAAATTACATTAAACTGTTCAAAAATGTGTTTCTTGGCATGTGACTCAGACAAAATCTTGTTTGACGTGGGTCTTCCCAATTTTCCTGGCCAAAGGAAAAGATCTCAGTGTGTCCTATAGCTTCTTTTTGAGAAGGAACTGAGACTTCAACCAGATTTATCTCTTGTAGGTATGTCCTTGGTTTCCAAAGTATCTGAATGATCCTTGTGGTCAGGATTAGAAGGATCATCTTTACTGATTCTAAACCTCTCCTGGTGGGTGGGTCTCTCGTGATTCTGCCATAACTTTTCCAAATGGCACAGCATTGATATGATCCTCCACTACTGAAAATTCCCATTCTCAAGGATTTTTAACTTGGGTCTTGACAAGCAGCATTTATACTCATTGTGCCTGGTAAAGATGTCAGCCATTGATGGAGAGATGGAGGTGGCCATTTATAATCACATTCATTCATCACATTGGTAGTATGGAATAGGAAGTTCCTCTGGTCCAGGATTTTAAGATTCAAACTCATTTATTTGGGCTTTCATTTTTGGAATCTTTCTTAGGATATGTGCTTTTCCATGTTTGAAGTATTTGGAAGCTAGCTTGACAGAAAGGCATGTGCACTGGTTGGAAGCTGGATGGTGGTTCACATGGTTTGGCTGGTGCTTTACTCACTGCAGTCTTTGGGTTAACCCTGATTGGATGGAATCCATCGTTTTCTTTAGTGCTTAGTCCCATTAGATTGCATCATATCATATACCTGGTTGGCTAGCTGGGACATGAATTTAAATTTTATTAGCTCTTTGACTGTCAATTGTGTAGCTGCTACACATTTGCATCAGGTAGTATATGACCTTTCCTCCTTGTGGATAGAGAAATATAGAATAGGAACCAGATTTTTTTTTATTGTAAAGTCCTGAAATTCCTTCTGCATTTTCTGGACCATCTCTTGCTGTTCTTCCATGGTCTTAGGTCCCATTAGGAAGCCTTATTTCCTCTACCTCAGCAACTTTTAAGATGTGCAAACATTGGCCCCCAGAATTCCTTAGCCAGCATGGGGAACGTATCTTAAAGTTGCTGAAACACTGCTCCTGAGGAAACAAGTCTTTCTTTACAGAAGAAACAATAGTTGAGAAGCATTGTTCTAGTCCAGAGATTTAAGACTTGTGGACTTCAACTCCCAGAATTCCTGAGCTAACATGACTGGAAGAGGAATTCTGGAGTTGAAATCCACAAGTCTTAAAGCTGTCAAGTTTGAAGAGCCCTGTTCTAGTCTATAGCTTAGCAAGGAGCTCCACCTTCTCGCTATTCTGTTGAACCAAGCAAGGTAGAAATAAAAATAACTTTGGTATGTTTAAGTGCTTTGCTAGGAAAGATTTTTAAAAAGGGATTAAAATCGGCCACATACTAGACCAGATTAGTTGCCTGCAAAGCTTTCAAAATAAGACCTGGACTCTGACCTGCCGCCTAAGGTCCCATCCTTCCATCGCTGCCACCATGTCGGCGAGCCGCTCCAAACGCCCCCTCCCCTCCCCCCAATTCCTATACTCCTCTGCCTTCCCGTTTGTCCCTCCCCCACCCCCCACCGAGCGCTTCCTTTTGTAGACCAGAGGTGGGGAACTATGACCCTTTTATGACTTGAGGACTTCAACTCCCAGAATTCCTGAACCAGCATGGCTGGCTCAATAATTCTGGGAGTTGAAGTCCACAGGTCATAAAAGGGCCATAGTTCCCAACCCGTTGTACATTCACCAACACTGAAAGTTAAGAGAGGCTCCAAGCCCTCCCCTCCTTTTCTCTCACCGGAGGCTTCAACTCCGCCCCTTTCTTCGAAACCGCCAGCCACCGCCCTCTTTGCGGCCGATAAAGCGGGTTCCCAGAACCAGCCTCGATCCAGCCCATCACCCCACTGGGTGTCCTCAGCTACCGTTGGTTCCTTAGGTGAACCTTCCTCGCCCACGAGCGTCTGAAACAAGACGCTCCGGGCACGTTACCTCGCTTCTTTCTACTGTCAACTGCCCCGTTAGACGGCGCCGGGGCTCCCGTGTTCTCCAAGGCGGTACCCGGCCGTCTTCGCGGTTATTACAACTTCTCTTAAGGTCTCCAGCTTTTACTTTTCACTGTTACACCTTTTTTTCCCCCCTCATGTCATCCCCACTTTCTCTCGCGCGACCAAATCCTGCCAGCCGTTTCTCGGATTCCGGCCCTTTCCCCTCTCCCCACCCCCCCGCCCCCGGCGAGTCTCCGCCAACGCAAACTATTCTTCAGGGCGAGAAATCCTGGAGAAGTATAAAGTGTTACGCTTTTCCTATTTCCTCAAGTCGTAAAGAAAGAGGGTTAAATACAATCGCGAGAGAAACGCCCTCTGGAAAGTAGAAAAGAGGAATCGACCCCTGAACGGGAAGATTCCTTTCACTTCTGTGGAAAACAGCAACTGCGCCTGCGCGCGAAGTACTGTGCAGCTGGAGGAGGGCCGCGCGAAGATCTTTTAAAGGGGAGGAGGGGAGTGTTTCACGGAAGAGTAGAATTACTCGGCGTTAAAGAAGAACTAGAGTGCTCGCAGGCATGGGTGAGCGCTAGGAGAAAGGGTGAGCGCGGCAACCTTTCCCCACCTTTCCGGGTATCCTCGACACTCCGCATTGCCCAAAGAGGCTGTAACTAAACACCAAAAGAGAGATAACGTTAGAAATTGACAACTACCGCTGCTTGAGCGCTGGGCCAATAAGGGAGCTTGCTGGTGGGGGTCACGTGGGGGAAGTTTATGTGGAAAGACGGTTGGGAAACCAAGGAAACGGTAAGCGGGAGTGAAGCGGCGGGACTGGGGGCGGGGCCGAGCGCGCGGGGCAGGTGAGGGGCTTTGTGTGGGAGTGTGGACTTGGCTTCGCTTTCTGCCTTCGCTGCTCGCATCTTACCCGCTGCTCTTGTTTCTCGTCCTCCTTTTTTTTTGTGGTGCCTAATGGTGGGATAGATAGAAGTGGAACAAATGAAGGTCCCCCGCCCCCCACCAACTGGCTTCCTACTGAGCCGCTGATTTTTCTGAAGTGAATGACCGACTTTTGAACGCGGGTCTTCCTTTCGGATATGTGAATGGTGAGTCCAAGGTAAATAAATAAAAAGGCGAGTGGAAAAAGAGAGGGAGGTGGGGTCCTGGGATGTACAGAGCGCTGAATGCCCAAAGGCAAACGAAGTGAATGTTTTAATTTACAGGCGTTTGTTTTAATTTCTTAATTGTTATTGCTTGTACGCCGCCCAAATTCAAGTGTGTATAAATTTGCTCAGAGATATTTCTTTTTAAGTCTTGCCTTTTAAACGTCACGGCTTAATGAGTGGATGGGCGACATTCTTACACATAACAAGGGTTTGCACTGGGTGGGTAAGAAACAGTGATTTCTGAGCATCTTATCTCAGGCTGTGGTGCTGCCAAATACGCATTTTGTGCATGTGGTCATGGACATTTGTTATTGTTAGCAAAAGGATTTTTCTGGAAAAGCTTGACTATTTAGTTCTTTACTAAACTCAGTAGTAGAAATTATAATTATATAAATAACTTCCAAAACAGGCACGGTATTAAAATGTATAATAAACAAAAAAGATATATTTCACACCATGTATGCATTTTTGCATACATTGTGCAAACTATATTGTTATTGCAAAACAATAAATTTGGTAATGTTATTACTGCAAAATATAATACCATATGGTGGCATTTTTCTTTGTAAAATTTGGTGACATCATGTAGTCTCTGCCATTTAATAGAAATAGCTTTAATATAAATTCCTTTGGCCTCAGTGTACCCTTTGAGGGGGCACTGATGTTTTTGGTAGTTCCAAATACAGTATACAGTATAGTATATAAATAGAGTATAGTTATTCATATATGTAGTTCCCAAAACCTTTTGATAATAACATATTTCATATGAAAGGAAACATTGAACTGTTTTATTTTATATTGCTGAATTGCCTGGGAACCTCAAAGGTGTTTTCAAAAGGCAACTGGATTGTCTTTTTGAAGATGTTTTGCTTTCATACAGGAAGCTTAATGAATTGAGGAATGAACTGAAGCTTCTTGGATGAGAAGTGAAATATCTTCCTCAAGAAAAAACCATCCAGTTGCCTTTTGAAAAAGACCTTTTTTTTTGGTAAATTTTATTTGAGTTTTCACAAAAAGAAAAGAAACACAATTAAAACAACTTTTTTGAAAGCAGCATAATCCCGGGTTACATTTCTTCGTGCAGACACAATTTCTGGTTCGTGCTCATTTTTATATTCTATTCCATATCTTATTACAATTTTACATTTTCTACATAGCTTCTCCCCTCTTTTAATCTCCTCAATTTTATTATATTTATTTCATCTCAATTCAAATCATTATATTTATATTTTTTGTCTGTCCTGTTTCAATTGTCTATATTATCTTTTCTCATTAAACGAAATTTATCCTGTAGTTACTGATTGGAGTATGACGCCTTTATATCTTTCCCCTAAAGTTATAACACTCAATATAATACATAGCTTCCATTCGGATTCTGTTTGGTACATTCTTAAACTACACACAATATTCTTAAAAAAAAGAAAAAATTATAAATGTATATAATTAAAACAACATTCCTTTCCAATTCAATTCTATCATTAATATTAAAATTCATTAAAGTCTTAAGATTTTTCACGTTACTTTTCAATTAAATATCATACCTCTATGGGAACAATTATTAGCTTTTCATAATCAATTTCCCCCCTCTTTACTTATATTTTATAAAACATTGACTAATTAAAGTGTTCCCATTCCTTCCTAATTCAATTTTCTCATTTATTTTATTTCATTTACTTTATTCACAAATATTTCACTAAATTACACTATTTTATCCCTCATTCTAATCATATGTTGTTTCCAATTTTCTAAAGTTATTTCTTTTTCAAATATAACAACACAATCTCATGTACCTTTACAGAATCCCCCTTTCAGTTAAATTTTTACCCATTATTTCTAAATAGGTCCTGTTTCTTTATAACTTGATCCGGACTTTTGTGACTTCTTTTCCTTTCCTTCTTCCCTCTCTTCTTCTCCCTCCCTCTTTTACCCCTTTGTCTCTCTACCTCTACTTTCCTCTTCTGTATTCCCCTTTTCTGTTGTTTTCCAGTATTATACTTATTTTTCGAATTATTTTTCTTTTCTTTGGTTGTTTTTTTAAACCTTAAATTCTCCATCTCTTTCCCCCCCTTTCCTTATTCTTCCCCACATAGTTACTTGTTCATTAAAGATGGCTTCTTCTTTATCTCAATCTTCTTGTTTTACAGTCTTTTCTTGTTGTTTCTCGTAGTTCCAAATCTCCATTTCTAAGAATTGAAAAACGAAGCCAAAGGAACCCTTCCCTTCTTGTGCCTCTTCTTTGTACTTTTTAAATTCCATTTTAAATTCATCGAAAAGTGATGCCATTGTAAAAAATTTTAAACAACCACCTGATTGATTTTAGTCATTCAAATATAATAGCCAAAAATCCAAAAGTCACCAAGTAATCCAAATACACACAAACTGTTTCTTTTTGCTCTTTCTTTTTTTTCCACTTTCTCTTCCTGGGGTTACTATTTAGTTGCAAATTTTCAGTTAAAATGTATCTTTTAGAAGTCTTATTGAGATTTTACTTTAGATTCTTTTAAAGTCCAGGCAGTCTCCTCCCTCTTCCAGATCCTGCCCTTATTCTTTTTCTCTCCCTTCCTGCTTATAGAAGAAAAAGATTTTAATGTCCAGAAATCTTTATTGTCCCTTTGGCATTTAGTTATATTTTCAGCTTAATTGCCTGTTGGTGCCAAAGCAGATTTTTCCAATTTCTTATTCTTAATTGTCAATATAAGGAAGGAGAGAGAAGAAAAAAAAAACCAAACCTTTCCCTCTTCACTTTCTTTCGCTGCTTCCTACTCTTCTTTGGGAGTGATGTTATTTCTTGTAAAATTTAAATTCCAGAATACCTTAGTTATTGCTTTTTCAACTTAGCCTGGTCAGCCAAAACTTTCACTTCTTATCTTCCTCCTGCACGTTCTTTTCCGGTTGAGTACTTCTTTGAAGTGGCCATTTCTGACCACCACTCCTACCGCCTTCGGGAAAGGGCGTTTGATCAGCTGAGGAGGAGAGATGTGGCTCTCCTCGACCCTGCTGGCAGTCTCCCCCTTCACCACCTCTACGGGGTGGCTTAGCCCCGAAACCAGCCTGCTTGGGGCGCTCCAGCGGCGAACCCAGGCAGAAACTGCGCCCAATCGCGGATTCCTGTCTGCCGCCGAAGCCCTTCAAACTGGAAGTCTGAAAAAGACCTTTGAGACAACTATGATTTAGATGTTTGAGAATCTCTGCCTTGGAAAGAAGTAAAAGTTTATTCTTGGTATTAGCGTGAACAGTTCTTAAAATATCTAAATAATCTGGAGTAGTTAGAAGATAAGATAATTCTGTTTGCAAGGTCAAGTGGATTAAAAGCAAAATCAATATAATTGGGAGTCAGGAAAGAGGAGAGGAATTAAACTCAGATACCAGTTCTTCCTTAATGTTGGCAACATCATCTAATTGGACAGGTGGCCTTGTTGCTTTGAAAATACGCCAATAGTTTTACGTTTATAATTGATGAATGGAATCAAGACTTAATATTTCTAATCTAAAAACAATTGCTCTGAAATTTATTTTTAAAATAAGCACAATAACATTTTTAATATATTTGATGGTCATAGTTAGAAGGTTAGAGGCATCCTTAATTTAAAATAGAAGGCATTAATTTATGTTTTGCATAGTGCTGGCTTAAGGTAATTTCACTAAAGGACGCACATAGTGTCTGGTAGTTAAGAATATTACGATTTGTAAAGTGGATTGAATGATTATATGAATAAATTATAAAATATTTAATAGCATCTTCTATGCAGTGATCTCCAACCTTTCTGGCTCTGCAGACCCGTGGGGGAGGGAGAGGGGAGGGGGGGAAGCGCGGGGAAGAGAGGAGAGGGATTTGCATGCACACATGCCAGTTGCACAAATGCAGTTTTGTGTACTTGCCCTGTGCTCGCATGGCCTGGTTCCCAATGGCCTGCAGCCCAGTACTGGGCCATGGCTTAGGAATTGCAGACTTCTGTTCTAGTGTTTTCTTGCAGTCATTATATCCAGTTTTCCTTTTTAGTTTGTTTGCATATTCCATGGTATAATTCTCTGTTTCTCTGGATTTTGTTTCTAACCACTTGGCTCAATCCTTTTTATCCTGGATTTTGTTTTCAGAAAACCTGATTATTTGCAGAAAGTTCTCACTTTTATTACAGCTAGAAGACTTCCTTCCTACAGTAAGATTCTTACTTATTCATAAAATATTTTTATTTGTGATCGTATTAGAAATAAATATATTTTTGGCTGAAAGAGTCAATTGTCTATTTTAGGATGATTCTGATAAAAGAAACATAGCCAATATAAAAGAAAAATGATTTATCATCTCTATCACTCCCTCCAAATCTAGTTCTGTGCCACTGTTTGTGTCCAACTATGTACTAGGAATGTTTCGTACTATAGTGACTGATAAAATAAAAATATCTTTGATAGCAGTTATCAACAATAGCAGAACATTATGAAGAGCAAAAAGTCTAAATAGTATCTGATGTAAAGATGGTAGATTTTTATCCTAATATTTTTATTTATATATATGTATATGTATGTTTCTGTCTGTCATCTATTTATCTATCTATCTATCTATCTATCTATCTATCTATCTATCTATCTAT